TAAGTGAAATATTTCACAACAAGGGCGAACTGCTGATAGCATCTCTAAATCTCCAATTGGAGGTACGTCCCAAGAAGATCTTCATCAACTAAAGAACTTGATGCTCACAAGGCAGGGAGTGCCTCAAGTGTTCAAGACTCTGACTGGCATGAAGGGCGCTATATAAATGCAAGCTATTGTTGCCATCCATCTAGTGAGGGTTCAAACCTGTATTTGCCTGCTATTATTTGGCCAACTAGTGCCGATCTCCCCGGGGGTGGTGGGGAAGAGAGAGTAAAGGGAATAAAACCTGGGCTGGGGTGGCTCCAAGCTCACAACAGAATGTCAGAGTCAAGTCACCCCTCTACAGCAGTCTCTTTGGGAGTAGTGGTGGACTTGGCCGGCACAGAAATAGGACTGCCAAGAGTTCCAAAGTCCCAGAAGGTAGAGTAGTCCTAGCTGGACAAACAGCAGGAAGCTTACCAGATATTGCTTGCAATAGCAAGCTATACTGTTTTAGCTGGTTAAACTGCAGCAGTACCCTAATGCACCGTGGGGTGCCTAGGCCTTGGCTTCTGCCAGCTTGTGCCTAATACTTCCTGTAAATAGATAAACAGGGGTATGTCCCTCCAGGAAGAGTGCATGATCAATTCCAGATACTGGGAAGTTTCCATGTGTATATGGCATGCATATATGGGGATCTCTCAGACTGGTTTGAATACTCTTAAGCAAGGCAATGGACTTCGACATCCGTTAAGACGGATTATTATTTATTATACACTTAATTATTTTAAGTGTGGAAACGATTCAATTTTTACATAGAAGAGGGAGCAAACTAGAAAAACAGATTATAGTGTCAGTTTTCAATCATTTCCTTTATAATACAAATTAAATCGAAAACATATACAAATTAACTGTAAAGTAGAACTTCGAAATGGGTGGTTACACGTGCCAGGAAAGCAAGCTCAGCATTGATTCCAGATGGATGCTAGAATATAAAAGGTACAAATGTTGCTTATAAAGACCTCAAGCTACATCCCAGTGCCAGCAGCCAACATAATCTGAATTGCAAACTATCTATGGTATGATGGCAGATCCATTTGCAAACTGAAATTTTTACAACAGTATTTCCACCAACTTTAGACAATGTCTCGACAATAATGAAATACTGCTTGTGCTACAAGAACAATTTTTTACAGTCTTAAAGCAAAATACCCTAAAGTGAATTTTTTTATTTAGATTCAACATCTGCATTTATTCCTCCAGTATTTTGAGATTTTTTTGGGTAGTTCTGCCAGTAGTGGGTCAAGTATTTTAGATTTCAATGTCAAATCACGTTTAGATAAACAAGATTTTAAAATACTAGTTTATTGTAAAATGTCTATTTAATGCTATGTATCTAAATACATGCTGTTTATCTAAATACATACAATATTTAAGTTTCTCCTTGGTAGCCCAAATTCTTTTTTTTTATTGGTCAGATCTGCTTTCAACAAAAATTTGGAGGCCAACCAATGAAAACAGTGTTGCATTAAGCTAAAATCAACGGAAATGTTAGAAAAATAATAATCCTTGCATTTGATATAGCATCTTTTGTGTCCCACAAACAGGCGTGGATAGAGTAAACAATGTTTTTAGGGTGGATTATTACCCCCGGAAAAGCGATCTGCCAATCAACTGACAACCGGGTTCCTACTTACTGCTTGGTAAACAGTGGCGTGTGGACAAAGGAAACTTGCCTAAGGATTTGCCCTGCCTGGGAATTGAACCCAGGTCCTCTCGCTTGCGAGGCGAGTGCTCTAACCATTAAGCTACAGGATTCCACAAATGGGACTGTTAAACATTATCTTCCTAAGAAAATGCATACATTTAGTCTCAAATGGCAAAATAAAACTCTAAATCCAACCTAATATAATATACAGTACAAAGATGTGGTCAAAGAAACATGCGCACATTTTCATTTCTGGGTCCTACTTTCCCCTAACTAAACTACAGTATACCAACTCATTGGTATACCAACTCAACCCGCAAAGCTCACCCCAATCTAATTTATACATTATCCATCAGTACATTATCGATGGGTATGGTATACCATGGCAAATTGGGTTTATTTTTATGGTTTTTTTTTGCTACCAACTATGTAAGGGGAGGGAAACCAGATCCACAAGATTTAGCAACACTCTACCTTAAGATAATGTGTCAGTCAATGAATACAATGTTGATATTTGGTGTACTAACATTTATATCAGTGACAACAATATTTATACCATGGTAGGTACATTGTTCAGCCTTCAGGGATAACACACTGAGCCATTATCATTAAAATACGCAAAGACTATATGAATGGTTTTAAGTTACAATTCAATTACTTAATAATTCTATAGATATATACACACACTTGTGTAAATATATATACACACACATCTCTATATAAAATACACATACAATAGTATACGCATACCCTGTTCTAATGAAATGCTCATCTTCTAGGGGAGTCATCACATCCTACATCTCATTTATTTGGGGTGAATCAATTTCACTTATACTTCTCTTTTAATGCTTTACAATTCATTGCATTTTCAAAACATGCCCATTATTTAATGGCACATCCAATAAAATAACTAGAAATGACAAGGTAACTCCCAGCCAAAATGTTTTCCCCAAAAAACTGTAGAAGAAGTCTGAAATGAGATACAGGAAGAAGAAACAGAAACTAAACTAGCAAAGATGAATATTCAAAATATTATTGATGGCAAAAAATACATATTTTGCTGAATCCTGATGAGAGGGCTATTGAAATGCCTGGAAGAGCCTCCTCAGACATAGCAGTATTCAAATCTTATAAAACTATAAATATACTTGGTGTAATGGTTATATCAAAACATCATAAACTGCTTCAAACTTGAGTATTTTGAAGTGCAGTCACATACATGTGTGAGCGCAGCACAGCTAATCAGCAATGAGATGAATATGTTTTGGTGAATTTGGGTGAGGGAAGAAATATTGGCCAACAGAGGAATTCAACAAGTTGCATTCATAGAATGCCTCTCATGTAGGGTAGTGGCCCAGAACACTTGAGAGTGGTGGAGCACGACGCCGAGCTGGGGGGGGAGGTGACCGTAGCCACAGTTGAAGGGGAAGGCCTTCAGGCACGACCCGAAGTTGGGGAAGGAAGGGGCAAGGCGTAAAGATAGAGCAAGAGTGTTCCAGAGTTTCGGTGTGTAGTGACTGAATGCGTGGCCACCGATGGTGGAACGGAGAGCACAAGCAAGTATGTGGACGGCGGAGTTTTGGATCAGCTGGATTTTGTAGATGGTGGAGCTGCGGAAAACGGTGAGGAGGGCATTTGAATAGTTGAGGCAGGAGGTGACTAACACATGGACAAGTGTTTCAACTGCGTCTGGTGTAAGATATGTCGGAGGCGGACAATGTGGCAGAGGAAGGTAGTCCTGGTCCCTCCTCTATTGAAACAGTGTCATCTGAACAGGCATCTAGTTCTCCTTTTACATCCAAAGGATAGCAATAAAGCAACAAGCTTTACAACAATAAAGCACCCACTTCCTTAGCGCTACACTAGAGTGTTGATTTAGCTGGAGTCCTACGATGGAGCTTGAACCAATATCCTTTTGAAAAGGAAGTAAAAGAAGAAACAAAAGAGACAAATAACACAAGAGCTATTGTGGTGGGAGGAGGAGTGTTTCTGCTGTAGTTTGGTCAGATCCCTCAATTGGAGAACCATCACAATTAGATATATATAATTACTCTTTGTTTCAGCCTGTGATGGTCATCAGATTTGAATATCCCTAAATCCTCATATTGCCAAGCGCAAATAATATATGGAGAAACCATAATCTGCTCACAGATTATAATTGTAATTATAATTGTGTTCCTCTTTCCCCTACTCAAATTCGTACGACTAAAAAAAACTAGTAAACCTGTATCCACAGATATTTACTGTGCATCTTGTGAATCCATTCCAACCATTTGGGCACTGCAGTAACAGAAATTTGAACAGCCAACCTCAATAATAAAGTACAGCAGTAAAATTCCCAATCTAAATCCAACATTCAGCGATTCAAGACAACTGTAAAAAAAACACCAAATCCAATTTAACACGGATAATAATAATAATAATAATAAGCCGCATTTTTTCCCCTCTCCTCGCAATCTGGCCAGGAAAGTGTGTATAGGGCGAACAATCCGTCAAATAAGACTGGCTAACCACTTCATGGCTGTTCGTGGGCCATTGCTGGGCGCAAAATTGGCTGCCCACTCACCTACAAAATACATCTTCACAACGCTTCACATTAAATTGCGAGAAGACGCTTTGGGGCAAAAAAAAAAATGGGTCACTTAACCCACAGCTGTTTGTGGGACACTGCTGTGCGCGATTGGCGGCCGTGTTTTCGCCCACAAAACGCAAGTCAATTCACTTCGCAGTATGTTCTGTGAAGCGCTTTGAGACGTCTCGACGCGATACACAATACATTGGTGTCGCGTCTTTCACGTCGGGAGGACGTCCCGGGGCACTGCACAGCCAGTGATTTGGAGCCGAGAAGGTGCTAATCTCCAACGCAAGGACTGTTATTACCATCATCATCATCGTCATCATCTGCTACCGTTATATTTATTGCAGACGGTGCGGATCCGAAAAGGGTTCAACAATGGACAACAAAAGCTCCGGCGTTTGCCTCGAGGCGCGAGGACGGTGCCGGCGGGAGTGAGCTCCGCTCCCAACTCACACCCACACCCGGGGAGGGAAGAGGAGGCGTGAGAGAGAGAGAGAGAGGGAGAGAAACCAAGACTGAGACATGGCAGCAAAGGCGACCATGACCGACGATAGTTCACTCCTCATTTCCCGAAGAAATCGCCGTTAACAACAACCTCCCGACGACACAAAGGAGGGGGTGGGGGGGGGAGGGAGGGACTTGTAACGGCGCTCAACCGCCGCCGTTTGAAAATAAAATCCCGCTCTTTCCTTTCCAAAACAGATAACATTTAAAAAAGGGGAGTAAACTCACCCGCGCATCTCCCCCTCGCTTGGGTCTCTTTGTTACTTCAAACTAATAATCTGAGGTTAAACGCCAACACCGCGCCGCCGCCGCCACCACCGTCGTCGTCGTCGTCCTCTCCGCCATTTTGTTTGGGAAGATCGCGCCGGGGAGCGGAGCGTGACGCCACGACGTGCGACGTCATCCCCGGCAGGCCCCGCCCCTCCCGCGCCAAGCCCCGCCCTCCGGGATTCCATATCCAAACCCCTTTGTACTGAGCTCCAAACACAGCACTGGGTCTCACCCACAATAACCAACTCAAGTCAAGTCTTATTTTTATACATATTTAAAAAAATATATGTGAAAACACAACCACACACAGACACAAACGATTGATTTTTTTTTACAATGCAAAAAGGCATCTTTCCAAAACAATAACAACACAAACTGGGTTCAAACTCCACCCAGATTGCCATTTTATTTGTGGCAGCCCCAATTGTTGGGTTGGCTGGTTGGTTGGTGCTTTTCCATTATAAAAGCAATCTGGGCATTTTTTTTTGACACAAGCCGCACAATTATGCCAAAGGGGTCATTTGGGATTCATCGAAAATATCATCTGGATATAGCATTTTAGTGAATGCATGATATTTTCCAATTCATTCCAAGGCAGCCAGCAAACGTGTACCCATCTGGGAAACGGTACAATCGTTTAATTTCCCCCACCCCCTTCCCTTCATTATTTCTTGACAAAGAACAAGCAAGACCCCACACACTGGGTTCAAAACACACAGAGATTGCCATTGTTTTGCAGCAGCCCCCAATTGTTGGTTTGGCTTTTCCAAAAGCAATCCCCTCCCTTGCAACAGCCCCTTAAACAGGGTAAACGAAACGGCTCGAAAAAGGGGAATGTCGTGATCATCATACAGAAAACGCGGTGGATACGGGATTACTGGAATGCAGGATGTTGTATTGTTGTAAAAGTTAAGAGATAACAATTCTTAAATAGACGGTCACAAAAGAAGACGGCTTTGTTTTGCAGCGATGGATAGCATTGGAAGTGTGTGGAGGAGATATTCACAATATCTAACGGATCTTGTGAGGATCCTTCATAAAGGAGACATAAAGGAGATAGTAAACAGTATCTTATAGGGGCGATAGGGAGGGATTTCCTGCATCAGACATGACTTGAGGGCAGATTAGTCGAGCGCTAATGTTACTGAAAGATTACAGAGCTGCAAATTCCAGCTCCGTATTACACTCTCGGTTGACATGGGAGGCGGATTAGAAATAAAAAAATATGGGGGGGAAAAACAAGGGTTTAACCGAAAATGCTGCGTGCATTGTATATAGGCTGAGTAATGCACAATCACCCGATCCAGTCTCAGAATTGAAATCCTTCGGCAATGAATCATCAGCAATTAAAATATTTCCTGGATAAGTCAGTATCGATCGTGTTTGTGGGTTTCATAGCGCATCGCCAGTCAGTCACCAACAGGAGTCTCACTCGCCAACACAGTGGCTCGTCCCAAAATCCCAGGGATAAAAAACTCATGCTTATTAATTAAAGGCCGTCCTTGTTCGGGCAGCAAAGACTTGCCTCTTTGGGGTTATTTCGCTCTTTTTGCATTTGCAAATACACCGCAAATGACAACAACAACAACTGTAACAGTGATCCCACAGGGTTAACACATGTCGTCCTGACTGGTTACATGCAGTGGGTGTGTGTGTGTGGGTGTGTGTGTGTGGGTGTGTGGGCGCTGCACAGTAAATGGTCTGCAAACACAAGTGAAATACTGTACTGAACGTGAAACTACCTGATAGGTAAGGGATTTGTTTGGGGGTTCACCCATAACAGCGGCTGGCGCCAGCTCTTCGCTCCAGGGCAAATGCAGAGACTCACAGAAACTAGTAACCGGTTATCCCTCTGCAGTCTTCACTGAATCAAACACTCTCACACACACTCACAACATACACAAATCCCCCCCTCCCCCTGCCCCACACACACACTCACTCCCCCACCCCACACACACTCCCCCCACACACACACTCAGTCTCCCCCCCACACACACACACACTCAGTCTCACACACACACACTCAGTCTCACACACACACACTCAGTCTCGCACACACACACACACTCAGTCTCCCACACACACACACTCAGTCTCCCCCCCACACACACACACTCAGTCTCTCCCCCACACACACACACTCAGTCTCTCCCCCACATACACACACAGTCTCTCCCCCACACACACACACTCAGTCTCTCCCCCACACACACACACTCAGTCTCTCCCCCACACACACACACTCAGTCTCTCCCCCACACACACACACTCAGTCTCTCCCCCACACACACACACTCAGTCTCCCCCCCCCACACTCAGTCTCCCCCCCCACACACTCAGTCTCCCCCCCCACACACACACACTCAGTCCCCTCCCCACACACATACACTCAGTCCCCCTCCCCACACACATACACTCAGTCCCCCTCCCCACACACATACACTCAGTCTCCCCCACACACACTCAGTCTCCCCCACACACACTCAGTCTCCCCCACACACACTCAGTCTCCCCCCCACACACACACTCAGTCTCCCCCCCCCCACACACACTCAGTCTCCCCCCCCCACACACACTCAGTCTCCCCCCCCCACACACACTCAGTCTCCCCCCCCACACACACTCAGTCTCCCCCCCCACACACACTCAGTCTCCCCCCCCACACACACTCAGTCTCCCCCCCCCACACACACTCAGTCTCCCCCCCCCCACACACACTCAGTCTCCCCCCCCACACACACTCAGTCTCCCCCCCCCACACACACTCAGTCTCCCCCACCACACTCAGTCTCCCCCCCCACACACTGTCTCCCCCCCCACACTGTCTCCCCCCCACACTGTCTCCCCCCCCCACACTGTCTCCCCCCCCCACACTGTCTCCCCCCCCACACACTCAGTCTCCCCCCCCACACACTCAGTCTCCCCCCCCACACACACACACTCAGTCTCCCCCCCACACACACACACACTCAGTCTCCCCCACACACACACAGTCCCCCCCCCGCCCCCCACCCACACAAACGCACTCTCCCGCACGCACCACCACGGCGTAATATGCCTCACGTAAAAACGAGAAGAGAATAACTTTTCCGCTGCACCGAACAATTCTGCAACACAGGCAAACTGGCAGCTGAACGAGAGCCGAGAGGACACGATGGGGAGGGAGGGAGGGAGGGAGGGAGAGGACTTGGGGAAGACCCACCAGACGGGGCTGCCTTTGCTCTCGCGCTCACCTTCTGACGCTCTGTTGGGGGGGTAACCTCGGCCGCAAAACTCACCCGAGCGCACAGGATTATTATTACACGGAGACCTGCAGTAAGTAACGGGGCGGACACTCACCGCGGGGGGGGGGTGGGGGCAGATTCCCAGACCCGATCAGCCCGACACAGCCATCCACCAAAACAAAAACAACCGCACTCCAACCGCTCGCCTTCCCAACTGAGGCACCCAAAGCCGGAAGTCTGTGTCCCCCACCTCCCCTCCCCCTCCCGGGTCTGGCTCCTCCCTGTCCGGCCGAGCACTCTGGGAAGTCTGGCCGCTGACCGCAGGCATTGTGGGAGTTGCAGTTCTGCCCACTTTCCTTTGTTGGGGGCGCATGTGGTCCGCGCGCGCGCACCGTTTGCGTTCAGCGCCCACCTCCAGCGATGCCTGTCTTGGGCTTGGATGTGCTCTTGAGCGGAGTGACTGGGTTTCCGCTGACCCCCCCTCCACCCCCCCAAAAAAAAATTTGCCCCCCCCGACCCGCCCGCTTCATGTAAGGCTGGAGGGAGAGCACGCGTTCCCTCCAAAACCCAAAACAACAATAAAAATTGGTCATTTATCAATCGGCCACTGTTTGTGCGCAATCGGCTGCCGCGTTCGCCCACCCACAAATATACCGTCAATTCGCTTTACAGTGTGTTCCGTGAAGCGCTTTGGGACGTCCTCCCGACGTGAAAAGCGCTATATCAAATGCAAGGATTATTATTATTATTATTATCATTATTATTATTAGCTGCGTTGGTGTGTGTGGTGCTTGTCCAAGTGGGATAAGGGTTCAAAAGAACATCTGTCAAATCAGGGTCGATTCCCAGGCAGGACAAAACCATATAATAATAATAATGATCCTTGCATTTGAGGTAGCGCTTTATCACGTCTCAGGCAAATTTCTTAATCCACACGCATTTGTTTAGCAGTACCGTGACAACAGTATAAATACAAGTTGTCGTTTACCTAGCGGTAAATGGAACCCGCTTGTTAGTCGATTGGCGGATGGCTAATTTAGTCACTCAATCCGTGACTGTTTATGAGACACTGCTGTGCGCAAATGGCTGCCGCGTTTCATCCAGAATATAGTCAATTCATTTTACAGTATATGCTGTGAAGCATTTTGAGCCATGTCAACGATATAAGGCGCTATAACAAATGCAACGATTGTTATTATAATTGATAGTTTGTCACATCATGAAAACCTTTGTGTCTGTTTGTTAAACAGGCCACCCACCCCATCCTCTTTTGACTCCCAGCCTCACAACCCCAGGGCAGGTGCTCAGTCAGCAGTCCGTGTGATGTGGAAGGCTCTGTATAAATATGTATTTTTTTGTAACACAGTGATTTAAATCTTCAGGGAATGCGTAATTCTAATGCAAGAAAAAAAAATGCGTTTGCTTGCGTTAAATTCCATTAAAACAAATGTTTGGAACTGGTATTGGTTGTACTGTATTGCATTTTTCATTTTAAGAACACAGCTGTGTTCTAGTGGTTTGTGGAGATGAAATAGGGTTGTTTGATGTCAGCCAAAAGATATTACCAATTTTATGATGTAGGTCTTGAAGGCAATATGTATCACAGCTCGCTCACTTTGAAATGCCTCATGAGGTCTTTAACAATGAATTGAATAGGCAGACGGGTCCTTGATTTAATGTTTTGTCTACAGGATGACACCTCTTATATTGCAGTGCTTTCCTAGTGCTGCACTGGATTGTCCACCCAGACCATGGGTTCAAGAACTCCATTTGGGGCTTGACATCTAAACCTTCTGAAACAAAGGCAAGCGTGCTAGCATTTGAGCCAGGCTGCTATATACCTTATAAAAGTGATTGGCTTCTGTCACCACTTCCAAATCATTAATGTACAATGTAC